AAAATTGAAAAATTGATAAATCACCCCAATTGCTTAACACGATTTTATCTCAGAAACTATAAATGCAAATGAGCTGAAATTTTCAGGGATTGTAGTCCTTTGAGAAGGATAATTTTCAGTGAAAGATTCAGCTTTCTATCCATAATAGAAAAAAAGTTATGACATTTCAAAGTTTTCCAAAAAAATCATAAGGTAGCTACCTTCTTTCTAAAACGATGAAATTTCAATTTTTTTTTTATCGAGATTTTGTGTCCTAATGGTCCCTCGTGATACCCTGAACTCCATAAACTAAATTATTCTCAGATTTGAAGCCGAAATCTATGAAAAAAGGCACTCAGAAAAATTGAAAAATTGATAAATCACCCCAATTGCTTAACACGATTTTATCTCAGAAACTATAAATGCAAATGAGCTGAAATTTTCAGGGATTGTAGTCCTTTGAGAAGGATAATTTTCAGTGAAAGATTCAGCTTTCTATCCATAATAGAAAAAAAGTTATGACATTTCAAAGTTTTCCAAAAAAATCATAAGGTAGCTACCTTCTTTCTAAAACGATGAAATTTCAATTTTTTTTTTATCGAGATTTTGTGTCCTAATGGTCCCTCGTGATACCCTGAACTCCATAAACTAAATTATTCTCAGATTTGAAGCCGAAATCTATGAAAAAAGGCACTCAGAAAAATTGAAAAATTGATAAATCACCCCAATTGCTTAACACGATTTTATCTCAGAAACTATAAATGCAAATGAGCTGAAATTTTCAGGGATTGTAGTCCTTTGAGAAGGATAATTTTCAGTGAAAGATTCAGCTTTCTATCCATAATAGAAAAAAAGTTATGACATTTCAAAGTTTTCCAAAAAAATCATAAGGTAGCTACCTTCTTTCTAAAACGATGAAATTTCAATTTTTTTTTTATCGAGATTTTGTGTCCTAATGGTCCCTCGTGATACCCTGAACTCCATAAACTAAATTATTCTCAGATTTGAAGCCGAAATCTATGAAAAAAGGCACTCAGAAAAATTGAAAAATTGATAAATCACCCCAATTGCTTAACACGATTTTATCTCAGAAACTATAAATGCAAATGAGCTGAAATTTTCAGGGATTGTAGTCCTTTGAGAAGGATAATTTTCAGTGAAAGATTCAGCTTTCTATCCATAATAGAAAAAAAGGTATGACATTTCAAAGTTTTCCAAAAAAATCATAAGGTAGCTACCTTCTTTCTAAAACGATGAAATTTCAATTTTTTTTTTGTCAAGATTTTGTGTCCTAATGGTCCCTCGTGATACCCTGAACTCCATAAACTAAATTATTCTCAGATTTGAAGCCGAAATCTATGAAAAAAGGCACTCAGAAAAATTGAAAAATTGATAAATCACCCCAATTGCTTAACACGATTTTATCTCAGAAACTATAAATGCAAATGAGCTGAAATTTTCAGGGATTGTAGTCCTTTGAGAAGGATAATTTTCAGTGAAAGATTCAGCTTTCTATCCATAATAGAAAAAAAGTTATGACATTTCAAAGTTTTCCAAAAAAATCATAAGGTAGCTACCTTCTTTCTAAAACGATGAAATTTCAATTTTTTTTTTATCGAGATTTTGTGTCCTAATGGTCCCTCGTGATACCCTGAACTCCATAAACTAAATTATTCTCAGATTTGAAGCCGAAATCTATGAAAAAAGGCACTCAGAAAAATTGAAAAATTGATAAATCACCCCAATTGCTTAACACGATTTTATCTCAGAAACTATAAATGCAAATGAGCTGAAATTTTCAGGGATTGTAGTCCTTTGAGAAGGATAATTTTCAGTGAAAGATTCAGCTTTCTATCCATAATAGAAAAAAAGTTATGACATTTCAAAGTTTTCCAAAAAAATCATAAGGTAGCTACCTTCTTTCTAAAACGATGAAATTTCAATTTTTTTTTTATCGAGATTTTGTGTCCTAATGGTCCCTCGTGATACCCTGAACTCCATAAACTAAATTATTCTCAGATTTGAAGCCGAAATCTATGAAAAAAGGCACTCAGAAAAATTGAAAAATTGATAAATCACCCCAATTGCTTAACACGATTTTATCTCAGAAACTATAAATGCAAATGAGCTGAAATTTTCAGGGATTGTAGTCCTTTGAGAAGGATAATTTTCAGTGAAAGATTCAGCTTTCTATCCATAATAGAAAAAAAGTTATGACATTTCAAAGTTTTCCAAAAAAATCATAAGGTAGCTACCTTCTATCTAAAACGATGAAATTTCAATTTTTTTTTTATCGAGATTTTGTGTCCTAATGGTCCCTCGTGATACCCTGAACTCCATAAACCAAATTATTCTTAGATTTGAAGCCAAAATCTATGAAAAAAGGCACTCAGAAAAATTGAAAAATTGATAAATCACCACAATTGCTTAGCACGATTTTATCTCAGGAACTATAAGTGTCAATGAGCTGAAATTTTCAGGGATTGTAGGCCTTTGAAAAGGATAATTTTCAGTGAAAGATTCAGCTTTCTATCCATAATAGAAAAAAAGTTATGAATTTTCAAAATTTTTCAAAAAAATCATAAGGGGGGTACCTTCTTACTAAAACAATGAAATTTCAATTTTTTTTCTGTCAAGATTTTATGTCCTAATGGTCCCTCGTGATACCCTGAACTCCATGAACTAAATGATTCTCAGATTTGAAGCCAAAATCTATGAAAAAAAGAACTCAGAAATTGAAAAAAATTTGACTCAATAGTTTCAGTTCTCCCATTCGATCATAATGAATTCGCGTAATTTCGATACGATGACCTAAATTCCTCTTCCGCTATTTCTAAGAATATAATTATATATTGTATAATATCAACTTTAAAGTTTTGAAACTACGGTAAGGTAAAGTCTTCAAAGGCATTGCTGATTTGGCTGAATTCTATGCAATATGTGACACACAAGTTTTAAAACCTTTGGGCACTTGAAAATGACTATTTCCTAAAGAGCGCGAATTTTCACCTTTTTTTTTTAAGGACAAGCGTTTACGTCAGACAACTTCTAGGAGCTTTGAGAGTTCTATTCGAATAAATTACCATAAAAATTCAAATTACCGACCCGGCCGCGGTGTTCTGTATGGGATCATCTTTTATTCAAAGCTGAATTTTAATCCAGGAATTTTAATCTGTTTTTTAGTGTGAGATTGTTGATACGTTGATACTCTATTAGAAGATTAATTGGGTCAATTTTCGAAAGATTACGAATGCTTTTTAAAAATTACATTATTCTACTGATTTCTGGAGGCACAGTACGAAGTCCTTTGTGAAGATAAATCACCTTGGAAAATTATATCATCGGTCGTCTTTCGTCTCTCATCTTAATCACATAACCATCACAGTTGCATTTAGGATTTGCAAGAATTCTCCATTTCAGTAAACTATTCATCCTACTTGTTTCCTAGAGGAAGCCATTGCCACCTCAAGGCTTTAGAACAGTGGTTCCCAAACTTTTTTCTTTTGCGCCCCCTTCCTGAAATCAAGAAATGGTCGCGCCCCCCTTCCTTCCCCCATTATACAAAAATATTTTTTTTACTTACTGTAGGGCGATCAAACAGAAAAGCTTTTAAATTGATATAGGTAATCCTCAATTATTATGGAATAACTTCTCGATTACCTAAGCAATTTAATCTACGTCGGTGTCATTATAAAACATTTTTTAGCATTGTCATTTGAATGTCATTAGGTCCTTCATAATAGCACTAGTGCGTATAAGAATTCATAAAAACACCCAAATTATGAAATGGAAAATATACAAAAGAAAGCTAGTTACCAGAAGAACCTGTTCATTTATGCTGTCTCGATATTCAAAGGGACATTTTCGAACTCAGAATCACCAATAATAACATTATTTCTCACTATAAAACTGAATTTATGGCACAAAAATTGACTCTAATATTGAAGCTGCCAAAGTCAAAATTCTAAAAATCAACAACCAAGTTCCCGACTAGTACAGGCACCTGCTGAATTTTGAATTTTAATATAAAAAGTTTTTGCTATTTCAAGGCAAATCAAATCTATTTGGATCATCGTAGATTAAATTTTGAATGATACACGTTCGATATGAATTTTATTAATGAAACTTGTGTAACTAATCCACGAGGCGTTAGCCGAGTGGTTTAACGTTACACGCGTTTCATTATGGTGTTCATATCGAACTAGTATCATTAATAACTATTATAAAACGCATTGAAAATGCATACAAAGTGTAAAGAAAAGAGATGCACATACGTTCAGTTAAGTATATAATTCTACATAAATGAGCCCCCAAATGTTATTGTCGCTTTGGGTATGGTTCACACAATATAATTTTCTTCTAATTGCTTACGGTTTCAATTTACTATTGTTCCATACTTTAATACCGCAATTACACAGACAACTGGTATGTGTAAATATTAAGCTCAAAGGTAAATTACAACGTTTTCGCAAGTGCTGCATATTTTATAATTACCTAATTGTAAAGGGGGAACTTCAACCTGCCTAATTGAAATTTATAAAAGGAAAACACTGCATTTTAAGTTTTAGCTAGTGAAATTGTTTTGCTGGGGAAAATGTTGCAGATAAGCATTAAAAAAAAGGAAATAGCGACGTGTTAATGGATTTTGCTTGTATATTTTGTTTCTAGCATTATAAAAATATAATGAATGTCATAGGCTAACATGTTATGTAGTTTTATATGTAGTTTCGACTTGAATAAAAAAAATATTGTTAATTGAAAAATTCTCGAATAGAGTGGGTACGGATAATAAAGAGTCTCTATTATCCCAAGTGCCAATTTGCCTGCTCCAAATTTTCTCCTATTAGTCACGAATAACGTCTTAAATATCCAAAATAATTCTGGGAAGTCGAACGTTTCCGTATTTCAGCAATTTGCAGAAGCTTTGGTATTATCCTTTTGAGGTTTCTCGCCTTCACTCTCAAGAGATTCGTTATGCTTTCAATTGCCTATTAGAACGTTTTAGGATTTCATTTACTCACCTATCCCGTAGCCCTTGATCGCTTCACCGCTAGGATCCAGGGCGAATTTGTAAACGTGATCGTTGACCTCCAAGTGCCGTATGCAACCTTTCAGGCCTTTGGTAACTGGCAGCTTTTCGTCTAGGCCGGTCGTATTGCCGGGACCTCCAGTGAATAGGGGCTCTCTGAATGTTATCCTAGAACAAATAGCTTCATTGTGTATGGGAGGAAACAATAAAACTTGTTAAACATTTAGTTATAAATTGAATATAAGTTCCGTCCACTAAGATGGGGCAACAAGTTTCTGCATTCCCAACTCGAGTGCCAGATCAAGTTATCTATTTATAAGAAATATTTGTCGTTGAATAAAGTAAAACTGGGTCGTTCAAAACAAACAAATTTAATTATTGAAAAAGCGATTGCTTTCTGTTGCCAGGCCGATGAAAGTTAAAAATAGCTACAGTAAATTGCTGTTTGAAATCGAATAGAACTCCTTAACAGGATGAAATATTAATTGAACTTTATTAGTAATTTCATAATGGAATAGAGCAACACAAAATCAATTTTTATCTAATATCAATTTAAAATTGGAAAGAACTTTACAATTTACAACTACAATCTATATGCCTAGGCAAAAGGGGTATGTCGTGCAAATAAGATCTAAATGGGTCAGTGAACACATAAAATGTCAAGCAGATGTACGAATACAAAAGCAACTATTCTCTTGGTGAGATTTTAGAAAAGTACGCTGACAAAAGGAAATGTGGTTTCTTTTGTGAATGTGTGCCGGTTTTTTATTTACCTCGAAAACAGGCCTTTGCTTCTACCTTGTACGTGTTTGCCGTTGTTTAATTGTAGCCATGCGTCCCATCGATGTCTGTACAATGTTACGTGGTTCCATTGGTTCAAAAGTACCGTTTCGTCAGACCGAACCACTCCGATGCCTGAACCACAATCAAATCTGAAAAAAAAAAAAATATAATACGATTTTATTGGTACTTATATTAGATAGGAGGTGCTTCACTAGGATGAAAAGCTAAGCTCAATAATCAAGTGGATGGTGGTTCATTGTATTTTAAACAGGCTATAAATGATTATATTGAGGATAGGTTACTGGTTTGACAGTATTTTTGAATGTTCACACAGATTTCGACTATTGAGAGCGTATTGACTTTCTTGTGATGGTGTTTCTAAATATTAGAGTGATTTTGTGGAATAGTCAAAATATTATAAGAACGTACAGTCATGTCAATATTGTTTCCGTGTTTTGAATTTTAGGATAAACCATCGGAATCGTACTAAAATTGTCCACGCTACACTTCCAAGTTTGAAAAATTCCGAAATTTTACCTTTCAATGTCACGTACCCTGCTCCAGCTGCAGGTCACACACATTTGCTTCTTGGACAACCGGCTGATTCCAAGCCTACAGTACTACAGAGCTACTTTCACTCTTTCTGTCGATTTTGTTTTCAACCCAGTCAGCGTAGGAATATGCTACTAGTTTTTCTCAACAGTGTTTTTCAAATACTTCAGGATGAGTGATACTTATGATTTCAGAAGTTCTTGTTATCTCCATTGCAATGAATCTACTAATTTTACCCAGATCTTCAACATATTTTTCATATTATCTACCACATCCAAAAACAATAAGCCACACATTTTGTTTGGTATAAAGACAAAAATCATATTGAGATCTTTTAAAGTCTAAAGTTTTCGTCAATCTGTTATTCCAACATTTTGGACTCTCTTTCAGCCCATATAAAGCTTTGTTGAGTTTCAAAATTTTGTTTTTGTCTGTATTTAAACCATCTGGTATTTTCATATGTATACTTACCTACTTCAGATTCAAGTTTTCCATTCAGGAAAGCACTTGTGGAATGTCTAGTTGACGTACATTCCAATTCTTTTGTAGAGAATGTACTAGAAATGTTCTTATCGTCAACAACCTGTCAACTAGTGTAAAATCGTTATCTGGTTACTAATCGAGCCTTCTATGTACCATATACCTTGATTCGAAACACCCATTTCGTATCAATTGCAGATTTTTTAACAGGAAGTTTACACAGAGTCCAAGTTTGAAGATTTCTGAAAGACTTCATCTCTTTGTTGATAGCATCTCGCCATTTAGAACTGTTCTGAGCTTCTAAAAATGTTTCGGGATCCTCCTATGATTTTGTAACATTCAAGCACGTAGAATATATCTCATAATTTTTAAGATAATGAGGTTTATGTATCTCTGTACCAGTTCTTGTTACAATAGTCAGTTATATTTTCCTCAATTTAGACTTGAAAATTTCCAAAGTCACAAAGGAAGTGAAAAAAATATAGAAAACACTTTGAATCAAACCACCAAAATCTCTCAGGCGGATAACTGGTTGTGGTGTCATTTAAAAAAATTGCTGAGAACGACAAACAAACCCTAGAGGAATCCAAAGAAAAGCAAATCCATTCAATAAACTTTGGTTCAAAAATATCTTCATATTCACGTTTATGTAAGCTGCGTTTACTTTTAATTGTTAGCCTTTAGAAAAAGTTGAAAAATATTTTTTAGTTTATATAGTAAAAAGAGCTCGGCAATTCATTTAAACTAGTTTCCTCAGGATTCTCCAAAAAATATTAACAAAACGTTGAAAATGACCATTCAACTTTATCGCTACAATTTTCGTGTATTTCGCCTAAAAGCGGAGATGTTTGTAAGTTAATTTGAACATCACGTATCACTTAAGTTTCTTTTTATCGGTTTTTATTTGGAAAATAAACTTTTTTCAAGCTCCATCGGCAATTGACTTTCATTATTTTTCATCGCTAAACTCTTGAGTTATTATAAAACCCAAGGCAAAAATATAATTCCAGACAGAAATGGAGTTTATTTGAAAAAAAAAAACCGACTCGAATCAAAAAAATTGTGCTGACTTGGTATAAAAATCAATGTATCGTATCTTGCTTGGCTTTCTATTTTCCAAATTCTTTCCAGTCGAATGGAACACATTTTTAAACTTGAATGTAGTAACAAAAAGCGGAAGCCAAAAGGGTTTTTTTAAGCCTAGAAATAATATACTCATTAAATCAAATGGAAAACATCTATAAGTGTGATCCTATCGAGAAA